AAGAGAATGAAAGAAACCAAAGACTCAAATTAGTCCACAAAATGAGTGACACAAAACATACTTCTAACCTGAGGCCAGAGGAGCTAGGTGGTGCCCATTTACCACTACCAATGTTCTGACCAGGGAAACAAAGGTGGTCTTGAAAAACATCTAGAACAAAACTCACATTTCTGAAAAAGTGTGAAGTCCTGGAACTTCTTACACTATCAGCCTACAAGATGCCTTTTAAATTTGGCACTAAAGCCATTCCTGGAACTTACATAATAGACTTGCTTATGAAATAAATGTTTAATGTGCTCCCATAAACATTCAACTATAGAAGACCAAATGATCAACATTGATTCAGAGGCAAAGGAGAAAGGAAGCCTGACAAATGGAAGCAAACACGGTAGAAATGAGAATGCTGACACATTGTGAAAATTGTACCCATTATCACAGAACAATTTATAGACAAGTTAAATGAAGGCAATTTGCTGTAAACTTTCCTCTAAAGCACAATGATTTTTTTAAAGCAAATATGATAAAATTTTATGATTGGAAATACTGAATCAAGAGTTGTGCACATTGACTTAATAAACACCCAGTTTAACTTCAAAGAGGTTTACCAATTAACGTTCTCATCCAGTTTATAAAAGAGGGGTGTTTGGGGTTTTTTTCCCTCCACTTGGTAGCCACCACTTGTACACTATCAAATTTTTCTCTACAAATCTCTTAGGGGAAGAAGTGTGTCTAATTTTCCATACTTTTTATATATCTGTTTCAAAGCTGTATTGGAATAATTTCTTTCATTCACAATATTGGTAACTTGTCTGGCCTTTTACCTTGTGATCAGAATGACTAGAGGTTTGTTAATTGTATTGATCTTAAAAGAGGTAACCTTTGTTCACTTTTTCTGTTTTCTTTCATTGATTTCTATACTCTGAGCTCTTTTCTAGTTGTTGTTGTTAAGTGCCATCATGTCGTAGATGACTTATAGTGACCCTATGAACGAAAGACCTGAACACTTGTATAACTTTCATTGTGTTTCTCCAAGTTCATAGGGTTTCCAGAGGCAAGCTATTTTGGAAGTAGATGCCACTCTTGCTTCCAAGCTTGTTTTAATTGGGGAGCTCCACCAAACACTGTCCACCATGGATAACCATTATCACATTTGACACATCAGTGTCACAGTGTTCAGTATCAGAGCAACCACGAGTTACCTCTGGATAGCAAGTGGACAGACCAGGGCTATACCACAAATTGCTGTAATTTTTTGGAGACCATTCTTTTAAAATATGGGTGTTTAATGATTCAGGTTTCCCCCTAAGGCTTTAGTAATATGCCATACATTCTGATTTGCTGTGCTTTTCAAAATAACTTTTTTTCTGGTTCATAATTTTTATTTACATTATCACATGGCAGGAAGGTGGTCTGTGTTTTTTATATTTCAGTGGGTTTTAGTCACAAGAGTGGGCAACCCTCACTGCTAATTCCAAGCAATCTGCTACAAGCAGATTTAACTCACTTTCCGTGAGTTTTAAAATCCATCTATCAATACCAGCAACATCTTCCCAATGGCCAGGGCGTCAGCAGTGTCCAGTCGCCCTGGGGCATAGGGCTGCTTTAATTTCTCTTTTGAGTTTTTCTCTGACTTGGAATATTTTTAAAATATGTTATTTGGTTTATAAGTAATTGATAACTCTCAGAGATCTTTTTGTTTTTGTTGTGTACTGTCACCTGCCACTCCCAGCAACTCTGAACAACAACAGTTCTGAAGTTGTCCCTAACTTGTGCTATCTTCACCATCTCCAATATACTTAAGTCCATTGTTATGGTCACTGTGTCAGTTCATCTTGCTGATGGTTATCCTTTCCTACATCAACCCTCCAAGCATAATGTCCTTCTCTAAGGACTGGCCCCTCCTAACAATATGCCCAAAGTATGTGAGACAAAGCTTCACCATCCTTGCTTCTAAGGAACACCATGGTTACATTTTTCTCTAAGACAAGCTTGTTTATTTTTTTGGCAGTCTATGGGATATTCACTACTCTTCTCCAGCATCATAACTCAAAGGCATCGATTCTTGTGAATTTTAGTTATTGTCCAATTTTCTTTATTGATATAGAACTTAATTGCATTGTGGTCAAAGAGCATAATTCATATTTTGAATCTTGTAAATTTATTGAGACTTGTTTTGTGGCCCAGAATATGGTCTGTCTGAGTATATACTCTGTGTACAAGCACCTGAGAAGAAAGTATATTCTGCTGTTTGGGGATATGTTGGGGGTTTTGTTGTTGTTACATACCATTGAGTCAGACTGACTCATACCTGACCATCTAGTGTATTTTCAGTGGCAAATAATTGCACAAGAGGAGATTGTCCATCCTGTGGAACAGCTGGTGGATTCAAACCACATGCCTTGGGGATTGTAGGACAGCTTCTAACCACTAGGTCACCAGAGATCCTGTTTTAGAATATAGTACTTTATACATTTCAATTAGGTCAAGTTGGTTGATATTGTTCAAATCAACTATATCCTTGATATTCTCTCTACCTGTATTATAATTTATTGAGAGGAGTATTGAAATTGTTTGCTATGATTATGGATTTGTTTCTCTTTGTAGCTTTACCAAATTTTGTTTCATATATTTTGTCACTTTTTAAAGAAACATACGTTAAGTTGAAGTTATGATGTCCTTTAAATTAATTGATTCCTAAATTAATTGATTCCTTTGTCAATATGGATTTAGAAGAGGTCATGGTACTAGGGATATTATGGCTAATGTTAGATGGATCTTGTCAGAAAGCAGAGAATATCAGAGGAATGTCTATCTGTGCTTCACTGATTGTGCAAAGGCTTTTTTGACTGTGTGGATCACAACAAGCTATGGCTGACTCTGAGAAGAATGGGAATCCCAGAATATTTGATTGTGCTCATGCGAAACATATACTTGGACCAAGAGGTAGTTGTCAGAACAGAGCAAGGAAACATTACATGGTTCAAAATCAAGAAGGGGGTCCGTCAGGGATGTATTTTGTCTCCATACCTTTTCAGTCTGTATGCAGAACAGATCATCCGAGACCCTGGACTGTACAAGGAGGAATGTGGCATCAGGATTGGTAGAAGAATCATCAACAACCTGTGTTATACAGTTGACACAACCTTACTTGCTGCAGAAGGTCAAGGACTGCAGCCTTCAGTATGGATTGAAGCTCAACATCAAGAAAACAAAGATTCTCACCACTGGGCCAACTGGCAGCATCAGTATGGATGGTGAAGAGATTGAGATAGTTAAC